ACACGGCCTCCAAGAAGTCTTCCCGAGTCACCTGACTGAAGCGGATCTTCCTTTTGATCTCTACTGTTGCACCCTATTTTCTCTCCCGTTCACGCATTACAGTATGTATTCAATTTGTTCATTAACGTTTCCCCTCACCATCTTCCCTTTTTCGCCCACCCAGCCTAAAAATTCTGGGAGGGCAACGAATGTCTGGGTCTTGTCCACATCTGTATTTCGCAGCACGGGCATGGGCCTAGCTCCTGGGAGGTACTCGGTAAGTATCTGTTAGAGGGCTAAATGGTACACAGAAGGTACACAATACATGCTGTTGAATGGTGATTGGCTTCTCCAGGCCCCTCTCCTTCTCATTGTGCCCTGCACACAGTAGGCACCCAGGACGCTGGGTCGATCGACTCAATTAGTTCTATAAACCACTCCGTCCACTGGGACCTCCCACCAATCCTACCAGCCACCTTCACCAGCCACCAATGCCTACCTCTGGCCCCTCCCCACAAGGACTCCTATCCCCATCTGCCAATAAGACTTTATCCAGCCTTATTTCCTCTAATTCCTATTAACAAAGCAATGGATTTTTCCTATCAAATTATGTTTCAATATTAAATGGATTTTTCCCATCAAATTATGCTTCAATATTAAATATTAAATCACCCTCCCAGAGATTCGGCTAATGTCCCTTCTCATCCCTTAGGGTGGATGCTCCCTTGGTGGTGGGGGCTGGGACTGTGGTCATCACCTGGCAAAGATGGTATCACATCGTGTGTCTGAGCTCATGGTCCTGTTACAGAAGCATCAGAGCTGCTTGTTTTAAAATGCTGATTCTTGGCCCCACCTCAGAGCCACAGAACCAGACCTGGGGGAGAGGTCTGCACCAGACCCAGGAATGTGCATTTTAACAAACTTCTAATGAATTCTGAGGCATAGCAAAGGCTGAGAATCCCTAAGCCAGAGGATGAGAAAGCACTTTGCCAACATCTCAGATGTGAGCTGTAATCACCATTCCTGCCCATCCCTGGCCAGCGGGGCCCGTGCCTGCGGGACTTGGGTGGGAGCAGCCCCACATCTGAGTGGCTGCAGCACAGGCCACCGCAGCAGCTGGTGTCCTTCTGGATCCCTGAGCTCATTAATTACACCCGGACTGGCCTCTGCGCACACCCGGAGGCTGGCTGGGCCTGGGCCTTGGGCGGGCTGTAGGTCCAGGAGGAAGCGGGGAGTAGGAAGGAGCCAGGTCTGGGTGCACACCCTGCCCCGGCATTACCTTGAATCCTCACTACTTGCAAGAAGTCCAGATTCAGAGGAGCTGCCTGTGACAGGCAACCTCTATGATGGCCCCAATGACCCACCTCCTGGCATTCACATCCAGTGAACTCAATCCCCTGGAGTGTGAGCTGAATTTGGTGACTCGCTTCTAATGAAGTGACTATGGCAGAAGTAATGTCACTTTTAAGATGAGGTTTATGAAAAGACTGTGGCTTCTCTCCTAGGTACTCTCTCAGACTCTCTTTGGATCCCTCGTTCTGGGTAAGCCACGGCACATGTGCAAGGACCATGTGGTGATGAACTGAAGCTGACAAACAATCACGTGAGTGAAATGGAAGCAGACCCCTCCCCAGTCCAGCTTTCAGATAAACCTGCAGCCCCAAGCCCACAGCCTGATTACAACCTCAGGAGCAACTGAGCCACAGGCCCCCAACTAAGTCACAACTGGATTCCTGACCTTTAGAAACTGTGAGGTAGTAAATATTTACTGTTTTAAGCTGCTAAATTTGGGGGTAACTTGTTATGCAGCAATAGATAACTAGTACACCTCCCCTCTAGGCACCCTTCTCGTGACAGTTCTTCCTACATCCTTCCTGGAGTCCTTAGTCTCAGCCACAGCAAACAGTTTACTTGTCCCCCTAATGGGCCATGCTGATTCATGTCCCCAGGTCTTTTGTCATGCAAATCCATCCTCCAGATGACCTGGGCCACCCAGTCAGCATATCTCTCTCCCAAGATTCCCAGTGTCAATGTCACCTCCTCTGTGAAGCCTTCCCTCATTTTTTTATGCCCATCGCAGCCTGAGCAGTTCCTATTAAAGCAAGTCTAATGCACTGCCCCCCTTATTCACTTACTAGAGGCCTGGTGCACGGATTTGCGCACCGGTGGGGGGGTCCCTCAGCCTGGCCTGCACCTTCTCGCAACCTGGGACCCCTCGGGGGATGTCGGAGAGCCAGTTTTGGCCCGATCCCCGCAGGCCAGGCCGAGGGACCCGGCGGAAGGAAGAATCCTCTAGTATGCATATAAGATCTTTGGTTAATCTCTTCCCACCCTTCCTCCTCCCCTCTTCCCTCTGAGATTCATCAGTCTGTTCCATGTTTCCATGCCTGTGGTTTCCGCTCCTGTGCTAAGTGTCTGCCACCTGGTGGTAAGTGCGTGTCATAGCTACTGGCCGGTCGGCTGGTCGGCTGGTCGCTTAGGCTTTTTATATATATAGATAGTCTGTCTCAATTGTGAGCTCCTGGAGGACAGGGCCCAGCCAGATTCTTCTCTGTCTTACCTGATGCTTAGCACAAGCCCTGACACAGAGCAGGTGCAAGGAAGGTTTGGTGAGTGAATAAACAACAAGCAATGTGTGACTGATTCTATCCCCCCAGGTCCTGCCATCTCCTAAGGCTGCACAATTTCACATTCAGGAATAGACACCCAGATCTGTTATCTGCCCCCAAGAAACTGGCCTTTCTCCCAACTTCCCCATTTCTGTTCCAGGACCATCACCTCCCTGCAAGCTGGAATTCCCTGCTCCCTTTGATTCCTCTCCCTCCTCCCTTTCCTGCCTGTGTCTGCATCTCATCCAATTCACTGTCAAACATCTCTTGTCTCCTCTGCTCCTCTTTCCAGCACCGTGGATGCCTTCGCGGCAACAGCTTCCTCTCAGGCCGCTGTTCCGGTCTCTTGTACCTCCATTTATCCTCCCAGGGACCTTTCAAATGCCCAGAAGGCGGGAGTGGCGGGACTGTGGAGATGGTGGATGTGACAGCATTTTATGGAGGCAAAAATCATGGCAACCACCCCAGGCTAAACTTTCACTGGCTCTCCAGGGCCTCTGGAATAGGGTCCAAACTCTTAGTCTGGCATTTGGAGCACTGCAGGGTCCGATTCCAATGGGAAGTTAAGAGGACAAGGCGCAAATAGACTTCAAATCTCCTATCCCTGCACCATCACCATCACAGCTCACCTGGCCGAGTACCTGCACCAGATTCTTCTCTGTCTCACCTGATGCTTAGCACAAGGACCGACACAGAGCAGGTGCAAGGAAGGTTTGATGAAGGCTGGGCTTTGTATACATCATCTCAGTTAGTTAGTATTTATTAAGCTCTGACTGTGTACTAGAAGCCGTAATAAATACTTTATAGGTGTTACGTTGTTGAATCCTCACACCCCCCATATGAAAGAGGGTTTCACACTCGGCCCAGGACAAACAGCTAGTAGCTGCCAGGGCTGGGCTTTGAACCTAAGTCCGTCCACCTTCACAGCCTCTAACCACCATGCGGGACTCTCACAAACTTCCTATGTTTACAGCCCAGGAAGGTTGTACACTGTGCCACAGGCAAACACCACCTGTACTATTGTTTGTCAATGTTTTCCCTTAAATTAACTTAAGCGAAATAGTATAGACCAGCCGTGGGCAAACTACGGCCCGCAGGCCGGATCTGGCCCGTTTGAAATGAATAAAACTAAAAAAAAAATTATGTAATGATGCTTACTTTGAATTTATATTAGTTCACACAAACACTCCATCCATGCTTTTGTTCCGGCCCTCCGGTCCAGTTTAAGAACCCATTGTGGCCCTCGAGTCAAAAAGTTTGCCCACCCCTGGTATAGACACTCAGAGTATGGGCACCCAGATCTGTTTGGAGGGGCAGTTTGGAATCCCACTACCTGGGTATCAGACTCCTGGCTCCTCCACTCTCTATGTGAGAGTAAGACTCTCTGCCTCAATTTCTTAAAATAAAAAGGCACTTCCCCTCACAGGGTTCTTATGAGGATTAAGTGAGTTAGACATGTCCGGTGGCCAGCATACAGTAAAAGTGGTGACCAGGAGGCCGGGTCCACAGTGGGACTGTACTTCCCATCTCTCTACACTGGAAGTAACCACGTGACTTGCGTTGTGGCTGGAGTGCACTTCGGGCTGAAGCTGGTGAACCAGTCTACCATGTGCCACACTTGCTCCTCTTGCCCTGGTGATCGTGACACCCCAAACGGAGGCTCCTCCATCTGGTTGGCTCCCAGAGGGAGGAATCCCAAGCTGAACCCCGATGGACATGGAATGTGAGTGAGAAATAAACTTCTATTGTTTTGTCACTTCAGCATCGCCTGGCCTATACTGGCTGATACAAAAGAAGCTCAATAAATGTTCACTTATAAAGGTGATGACCTATACATTTTCTTAAGAAGGAAACTATATCACTTTTGTATATGAAGAAATAGAGCACCGCTTAGCATCAGATAAGATCCATATAATTATTAAAATGAGAAACATCCTCATGAGACTAAAATCATCTTGCAACACCTCCTCCCACCCGAACCCCCCCTAGTACCTACAAGTACCGCCATCAAGAAATGCTGTTTAGCCCTGTCAGCATGGCTCAGTGTTTGAGCATCAACCTATGAACCAGGAGGTCATGGTTTGATTCTTGGTCAGGGCACATGCCCAGATTGCAGGCTCGATCCCCAGTAAGGGATGTGCAGGAGGCAGCCAATCAATGATTCTCTCTCATCATTGATGTTTCTATCTCTCTCTCCCTCTCTCCTCTCTGAAAACAATAAAAATATATTTTAAAAAATGCTGTTCAAATGCGTCTAAGAAGCTACACCACGGATGTAGATTGGGAAAGCCTTGCCAGAGTGCCTCCCGGTCAGCTCCAGGTCACCGCCCTTGCCAGCCTGACTCCCCAGCTGCCAGGCCCGGTACCCACTCCACGCGTTTGCAGGGGCACCTGTCCCGCTGTGGCCCTTACCTCGGCAGACGGTGCCATTCTCCACGGCCTCGAAGCCCGCTTTGCACATGCAGCGCCCGATGGGCACCAGCCACTCGCCGTCCCCGTTACAGTAGAGTTTGATGGGCACATCCACCTCCTCAGCATTGGCGATGCAGCTGCCCCGGGCGGCCACCAGCGAAGTGCTCTCGGCCCCTGACAGCGTCTCCTGGAAGATGGCGCCGTTCTGGATGATGCGGGGGCACTTGCGGTAGAAGACGCGCACAGCGATGAGGGACATGCAGCCGCCATAGTCCTGGAAGGCCAGGTAGAAGCCGCTGCGGGACACGGGCCCGAAGCTCCTCACCTCGGTGTTGATCTTCATGACGCGGCCACCCAGGTCCACCTGGGAGAAGCTCTCGTCGGCCGCGATGGTGTCCACCTTCACCCACGGATTCTCCATCCAGTTGGGGAAGGTCTTGGTGGCCGAGTCAAAGTCGGCCTCATAGTAATAGAGGTTGAAGGTCTCCTTGCAGGAGCCGGGCACACTGGGGATGCTGCTGCAATCCCGCACCGAGAACTTCATCTCCACGTGGATGCGGTGGGCGCCGCGGCGCCGGATGAACTTGGTCCGTAGCCAGTTGTTCTGGCTCGATTCAAATACATTGCATACCTGGTAGGTGCGGATCGTGTTCATGTTCTCATCGTAGCCACTCACCTCTTCCCACTGTGGGGGAAATGCTAGTCAGGTGGGGAAGGTAGGGGCTGAGCCCAAGGGAACACCCAAAGAGGCAAGACACAGGCCCCACCTTAGGGAATCCCCCAGTCTGAAGGGGGATAGACAGGACCCCTAGTATCAGGGGCCTCCTAGTCTGATGGGGGAGGCACAGACTCTACCTTAGGGATCTTCCACTTTGGTGATGGAGACATGATCCCTCCCATCACAGAACTCCCTAACTGAGGGGGAGACATGGCCTTGGCCTTAGGAATTCTTCAGTCTGTGAGGGAGGCAGGCCTCTCTGATGGGAAGGACACATACGCTGGTCTTGGTATTCCCCAGGGGTTCACTGAGAGCAGACAGAGCTTTGTGCTTGGGGAGCTACCAGTCTGATGGGGAGACAATTCTGCCCATTGGAAATTCCCTGCCTGACCAGGGAGACACAGTCTGTGCCCTTGGGGGCTCCCCATCCGACGGAAGAAGAGCCCTTACCCCTGTGACTGGGAAGACAGGACCCTACCCTGTTCAGGGTCCATAAGAGGCTCAGATGGTGCCTGGAGGGAGACCTCCCACCCGTGCTGCCTGGGGCAGGTGCTTCCACATCCTCACTGGGCCAGGCCTGGGCTCCCCCAGCCAGCGGAGTGTTCCCAGGCCTACTGCTGGAGGGGCCGAGTTGGGCCATGGAGGGTTGGAACTGGGAGGGCACGGGACCCGTACTCTCTCCTCATAGACCCTCAAAGGCCAAGCCCCTGGCACGGCCGAGCCTGGGCGCTCACGTTTTGCCCTCCTCATGCACCCTCTCGTCTTCCCTCCATCCTTCTGGAACCTCTCGCAGCAGGCTCTCCGTCTGGCTGCAGTGTCTGCATTCACGGGGGACCACCTGCCTGGCAAGTGCTGGGCACCCTCAGCCCTCTTGGTCTGGTCTCCCGTGGACCTGAGAGCTTGCTGAGGGTAGCTACTGTTCCCCGCCCCCCTTCTCTTGTGTCCCCTTGGTGGTGGGCTGGCTTTACCCAGCATAGACCCACAAGGGTAAACCCCAAGGAACCCCACACGCAGAATACCCTCACCCACCCCGTCGGCCCAGGAGCTGGGAGCTGATAGGGTTTTGTTTCTTTGTCATGTTTCTTACACGTGGTGCGTGTGGTCATCCCCATTTTACAGATGAGGGAGTAGAGACCAGAGCAGTGAGGTCCCCTGACCCAGGTCACACGGACCCAGACCCATTCACTTGCTTGCCCAGACTGCCTCAAGACACGAGGACCCGACAGTGCCCCCGGGTTTTGTCCCAGCTCTGCTAACTTGATGGGTGGCCTTGGGCAAGTCACTTCCCCTCTCTGGGCCTCTATTTCCCCAACTGCCAAATATGACTACCATGGGCGTGGGAGAATTGTCGCATTCCAGTGGGCGTCCTTTGTCCCGTCTCCCTGTGATTGTCTGGGCCAGGTCTGCACAGGGCGGAGCGGTAGCAGCTGGCCTGGGGAGGGACGATGCAGTGCAGGGCGTGCGCGCGTGTGTGGGGAAGGCCGAGCTGGAGCCTGCTGGCCCAGCCTCTACTTCAGTGGCGGCTCTGAAGCTCCTTATATTGTGTTTAAATTTTTTTTTTTCCCTTTTAGGTGGCACCATGTGACAAAGTCAGCCCCTTGTTACAACCACTGCTCTTCTTCAGAACTTAATTAGAGCACTTAATTAGAGCACTCTGCCTTTCTCCCCTCTCTCTAATTAACATGCGGAGGCCCTGCAGCCTGAACACCCCAAATAATTGCGTCCGGGGGCCCTGCAGCCCAGCCTGGCCTCATTACTGGCAGGGTGGGGCTGTGGGCCCCGCCGCTTTCGCAGATGGAAAACTGGTGACAAGAAAGAGCCACAGAAAGAAGCCTGACCCGGGGCCCTGCCTATTGAGAGCGCAGGCCTTGGGCATGGGCAGCAGCTGAGTCCCAGCATAGAAGCTGGGGTGGGGGGAGGGAAGGGATGGGCTGTGGGAGCCCAGAACCTTCCCCAGAGACCAGAGGGATGAGGAGGGGACGGTATTAAAACTGATGACGGTGACAGTGACGATGGTGACATTTATTCTAGCTGCTCGCTACCGGGAGCCCACTCTGTGCCAAGCCCTGTGCCAGCGACTCTGCAGGAAGAGCTCACGGAGTCCTGTGAGGAAGGCATTGCTATCCCCGTGTGAGAGATGAGGAAGCGTAAGTTCAGAGAGGTTGCGGCACCGGCCCCAAATCACCCCGGGGCGAGTGGCGGAGCTGGGAGAGAATTGCAGGAGTCTCACCCCACAGCCTGTATGCGAGCGCCAGGCTGGCTGGTGAGCGGAGAAAGAGGAATCTGAGCTTGTGCCTGACCTTCCCCCTGGGGAGCCTGCAGACTACATGGGCTCAGATCACCGAATGCAAGGTGTGAAGCGCTCAGGGAGCGGGAGCCTTGTTCTAGGGACCCAGAAAGGGGGCCCAGAGGATTCGATATAAACCTGAGCCCCGCCCCTTACTAGCTGTAGGGCCCCTGTCAAGTGGCTACACCTCTCTGAGCCTCGGTTTCCTCACCTGTAAAATGGAGGTGGTTCCTTCCCTTGGGAGTGGAGACGATGTGTGAAAAGGTGCTTGACACAGTACCTGACACACACTGGGTGCTGACGTAATGACAGTTCACTCTCCTCATGTGCAAAAGGGGGTAGTGCAAGTCCCTACTTCTGAGGATTCCATGGGACAGCTTAATGCATCCAGTATGTTGTCATGGTAACCGGGGCTCCACCAATGGTAGAGGTCCCAGTGGGTGGGGCCATGAGAGGCTTGGCCCTGGGCTCTGAAGGAGGGAAAGGGGCTGGACTGTGAGGGGGCATCCAGGCCCTGCAGCAAAACCCAAGGTGTCCTGGGGGACCAGGCGGGGTTTGGGGACCACTGACTCACCCCTGATGGAGGATGCACGATCCAGCCGAGCTCCGCCGTCGCTGTGGTTGAATCCATCAGCGTTTCTGTGGGGAGAGCGAGGAGTCACCACCCAATGCACCGAACAGACTTACATTGGCCCCTTTCAAGCATCCATTCAACAGACACATCCTGATGCCTATTCTGCACCAGGCCCTGTGCTGGTGCCCCGAAGAGAAAACAATGAACGGGAAGACCCTACTGTGGAACAGGTCACAGTCTGGTCGTGGAAACGAGGCATGAATACAACTAGCTATGAGGGAGTAGCTGGAGAGACCTAGAGAGTCACAGCTGGATCTTTCACGCCACCTCGCTCAGTGCGAGTGGGTGAGAGGCCTGTTAGCGGCCACGCTCCCCGAGGTGCCCAAGGCAGACACCACCAATCAATCCCCACGCGCCATGGCTGCACAATGCGTCTCACCACAGCGCACCAGGAAACTCACACTCACCATTTCAGATCCTATCCCTGGTGCAGCCCAACCACCTCGTTTTATACATAGGGCAACTGAGGCACAAAGAAGGGCGGGGGGAGACTTCGTAAGGATCACACAGGGACCTGCCTCCTCCCCGGTTTGAGGGTCTGGGGGATTTAGAGTGAGGAGAGTGGGGGCAGGGTGCTCAGTGTCCAGGCTGCTCTGAAGGTCAAAATGGGAGTGACAAGGTCTTGAACTAGGGCTGGGACATTGGGGATGGAAGGTGGGAAACGGAGGAAGCATTTAGCCAGAGGTGACCCCAGTCAGACCAGCAAACTGACAAGGGAGGGTGCAGCAGTGTCCCGTGACCCCCAGTGGCTTGTGTTTTTGGTCATTGTGTCCCTCTGCACTGGGGGCTGGCGATGGGGGGTGGGGGGTGGGGGTGCCAGGCACTGTGGAGTCCAGTGCCAAGGGCGTCTTTTGATGGCAAATTGGAGGGAAGTTCTATTGTGCTGCTTTGGAGCTGAAAAAAGGGTTCCTTTTCACAATCCGAATGCTACAGCTCTGCACTGGGCTGGCGATGGGGGGTGGGGGGTGGGGGTGCCAGGCACTGTGGAGTCCAGTGCCAAGGGCGTCTTTTGATGGCAAATTGGAGGGAAGTTCTATTGTGCTGCTTTGGAGCTGAAAAAAGGGTTCCTTTTCACAATCCGAATGCTACAGATTTTTCTTCCTGGAGAGAACAAGGGCTGAACTTTTAACCTGTTTTCTCTCGTCGGCCTCAGCCAGGGACGCGCCAAGCCGGGCTCCCCGCCTGGGCCCGAGGAACAGCTGCTAGGAGCCGTGTCAAACAAGGGAGAGGAGAGACTGCTTGGGATGAGAAAGGGGTCGGGGTGCAAGCCCGCCCAGCAGGTGGCCCCACCCCTTGGCTGCATTCCTGGGCTGACCCGGAGGCCAAGCCCCAGAAGATTCCACAGCCCAGAGGAGGGACTGTGGACCGACATCCTCATTGTACGGGTGGAGACTCAGGCCCAGGGAGGGGAAATGACTTACCGAAGTCATACACTAACAGCTGGTGCTCAGCCCCTGGACTCCCACTACCCCCTCTGCCTCCCACATCTGGACCAGCAGGGGGAGGAGCTCAGAAGGACTGAAGTCAAGGGCCGCCCGGGTCACAGACAGGAATGGCCTAAGAGGGAGTGGGAAGTTCGCAGATCCCCTCAGAGGATGCGAAAGGCAGGTACCTGCTGTTCTCCTTTCTCACCACGCGGTTCTGGGCTTGGCCTGGAAGCCCATCTCTGTGAAAGGTGCTCCCCTCGGGGCTGTGGCAGGAGGGGCATGGGTGAGACCCCCCCTACCCCCAACTTCGCTTGGCCTTTTGCTTTTCAATGTTGACACGTCCCTCCACCCTCTGAAAAAAGGGGATGGGAGGTCGAGACTTCGATCCTAATTAACCCGCTCTGCCACCTGTTTGCTTTGTAACCTTGGACCCGTACCCTTTCTAAGCCTCGGTCTCCTCACCTGGAGAACAGCCATGATACCTCTGGGTGAGGACAGGAGGACTGAATGCTAAGGGGAGTGTATTAGCTCGGAGCCCTGCACAAAGCAGGTCCTCTGAGCGGCAGTTACTCCTTCGTAGGTGGAGTGTGGTGCTTCTGGGTGACCTTGTGCCTGCACACACACCGTTTCATGGGGGCTCATTAGGTGGCCCCTGAAAGTAAAGGCGAGTATAAAAGGCTCCAGCTTAGACTACCTCCCCCCCAACCCCCGAGACTGTGCTTGCCAATATCTGACAAACATTAGCCTCTCGCTGATGGGCACAGCCTCTGGGGAGCCCTCCCCGGTCTGCCTGATGCTGCTTTCCTGGGACATCAGGAGTTTCCTTTGTTCCTCTCAAACCAAGCACAGAAGTCAAACTCAGTTCCCCAGGGAACGGAATTAGGCGTTCTGGCCCCAGGAACCTGGGCGGGTTCAGGAAACCAAGCCCTATTTTCATCGCCAGCACTTCTTTCCTTTCCCCACAAACATCTCCCCTCTAATCCCAAAAATCTACGAAGGGAGACAACTCCTGTCTGAAGATTTTGAGGAGCCGGAGGCCCTCACCAACATTCTCACTACCATGCCGAGAGAGTGTCGATACGGTCCCATTTCACAGATGGAAAAACGGAGGCTTCCAAAGGCTCAGGACTCACCCACGGTCACACATCTATTCCATTCATGAGCTATGCTCCAGCTGCACAGAATGGGTCGTGCACTCTCTCACCCCGGTACCTCACACTTCACACATACTGTTTCTTCTGATCTTCCCCCCCTCCACACCTTCTGTGCCCACTCTAATTCTCCTCATCCCTGAAGTCTCACCTCAGGGAACCTCCTCTGGGAAGTCCTCCTGAATCTGCCCCACCCCATATCTCTGTCCCAGCACTTGAAGGTATCCGGAATGGGAACCAACCCTGTTTGCCAGGTTCTTCTAATGGTGGGTGCTAAGGTTCTGGTTCTGGGGTCCCCAGCACAGGGCCTAGCACACAGTAGGTCTTCCTCTATTATGTAGGAAATCCCCCCTCCCCACTCCTCCCAAACTGTAGGATCTGAACACATGCTAGTGTTCTGCTCCATCAGGACAACATTCATGACTTCAGCCATTTCCACCTACAACCTGTATTTATTTAGTTGCTATTTTCCTTCCAGTTGACTGTTTTCTTAAATGCATTTTAAAGAGGAAAAAGTAATCATTATTATAAAGGGAAAGTCAGCATTATTTGCCGTAAAAAGAAGGAAAGTAAACACAAGATTATTATAATTAAAAACGCCTGTAAACTACCTAACGCCATTTCACTTCCCAAACTGCCTCTGAAGCGCTGGAAATGTCCCCAACCCATCCCCACGGCGACAATGACAACCCCTCATGCCAGGGAAGCTGCTTTCACGTGCCGGTAAACTACCTAACGCCATTTCACTTCCCAAACTGGAAATGTCCCCAACCCATCCCCACGGCAACAATGACAACCCCTCATGCCAGGGAAGCTGCTTTCACTGTACACAGATGATGAATCACCACACGATGCGACAAAGACGGCAATGTGGATGTGCCCAGTGCACTGTGGGTTACAGGAACCGGGCGTGGAAAGCGAGGAAGAAAACGCCCCGTTTAGGGTCAGCTTCCGGGAGGAAGTGACTGAATGAAGGCTTGAAGATGGAGTTAAAAGGAAGTCAGGCCCTGGCAGGGTAGCTCCGATGATTGCAGTATCCATCCATACACCAAAGGTTGCAGGTTCAATTCCCAGTCAGGGCTCAGGGCACGTACCTAGGCTGTGGGTTTGATCCCTGGTTGGGGTGCATATGGGAGGTGACCAATCAATGTTTCTCTCTCTCTCTCCCTTCCTCTCTCTCTAAAGAGGCTTGAAGATTGAGTTAAAAGGAAGTCAGGCCCTGGCAGGGTAGCTCTGATGATTGCAGTATCCATCCATACACCAAAGGCTGCAGGTTCAATTCCCAGTCAGGGCTCAGGGCACGTACCTAGGCTGTGGGTTTGATCCCTGGTTGGGGCGCATATGGGAGGTGACCAACCAATGTTTCTCTCTCTCTCTCCCTCCCTCCCTCTCTCTCTAAAATTCAATAAAAGCATATCCTCAGGTGAGGATTAAAAAAAAGAAGTCAGGAAAGGCTGAGTGGGAAAAGGAAGGTGAGCAGTAGCCTGGTTTAAAATTCAGTAAAAGCATATCCTCAGGTGAGGATTAAAAATAAGAAGTCAGGAAAGGCTGAGTGGGAAAGGAAGGTGAGCAGTAGCCTGGTTTGTGGGAAGGCGGGGCAGAGCCTGGTGAGAGCTGAGGGGGAAGCCTGGAGAGGTGGAGCTGGGCTGCCCAGTGAAGGCCAGCAGCTCTCCAAGGCCTCCTGTGGGACTAAGTCCCCCTGCCCACATCCTGGCCAGCCTCTCTAGTCCCCCTCCCTCCACCCTCCCTCCCCTCCCCCCCACACTGCCCTTTCACTTGCCTCCGGACACGCCCGCCTTGGCTAGCCCGAGGGAAATGTCCAGTTTCCAAGCCCTGGCTGCTCTAATGGATACACGAGAAAACGGAGGCTGTGTGCGCAGATGCTTAGCATCCAAGCGAAAGCTTGCAGCCACCAGCCCAGAATGCTTTCCCCAGTGGGAAGCAGGGTTCGGGCCATGGGAGCAGCTTTGGCCTGAGCGAATGCACCCGCACCCCCTCTCCTTCCTGGAGACTGCACAGAAGAAAGCAATCAGGAGGCCCTGATTGCACAAGCTGGGGCGGCCCCTAGGCCCCTCCGGCTATGTGTGAACGAGCAGTGTGCATTTCAGAAATATTTGAGCTAAAAGGGGAGACACACTGAAGTCGTTAGCGTTGGGCCCAACAAGAGGGTGTCTGTGCGGGGCCCTGGAGGGCAGCACTACCACCACCCCGTTCAGGCTGGGGTGGTTGGTTGCCCTCTGCTCCCTGGTCCACCCCTGATCAGCTCTGATGCCCTCTTGGGACATACTTCTCTAGGGCCGCAGACACTCTTTGTCTGCCCTAAAGACAGTATGTTGAGAGTTATAAGAGGCAAGTAAGAACTTTCATTAAGCACCTAGTGTGTGCTCGGCATTGAGCTGAGCACTCTAAATATCATTTCAGGT